GAATGTTAATTACAGAACGGTGAATATTTTTTGGCCTAATGGACAAACAGAAAAATTTTGCTTTTCGTATAATAAATCTAGCATATGGATCACCCGGAAAAAACATGCAAATTTCTTTGGCGCGAAACGTTTCGCGAACCAGGCAAGATAGAAAGCTGAAACTTTGCAAGAATATTCGCTGTGTGCGTGTGAGCTAAAGATTTTAAATTCAGCTGCTGCGCACGTCCACATTACATGTCAAAGTTCGCAGTTGGCATTGTGGTAACTCGAAAACTAGCCGGAAAACAGTAACTGAAATTTTGTCAGTATATTTATTGTCCACCAGGGCTATCGTATAACACTAAATGAAGCTCCGATTTACATTTGCTCCACGACTTAGACCATTTCAAATGTATCTGTAGCGAAGTGGCCATTTCGCTTACCAGACATACTGCGAAGCTTAAACTGCAAAAGTATTCTCTACTCATTTCTGGTCTTAGTTCAACTTGGAGTTGAAATTCCCTACACGGAGACGTGACATATACTCAATTTTATCACAAACTCAAAATCGGGTGCATTTTGTAGATTTCATAATCCTTCCTTCAAATTTGTCACTTTTTCAAAGGGTAGACATTTACTGGAAAAACGACCGGTCGTGCAAAAAAAAAAAGAAAAAACTGATAATAACGCTTTTTTTTAGTTCATGATGAATAAAGTGCCGCATTTCGAATGTAGCTTCACGGTGCAAGGTCAGGTGTTCTCGGCAGACGGTCCAAATAAGAAAACGGCCAAGCAGGTCCATTTGTTTTTTCACTCTTTTTTTCTCTAAATCTCATTCCCTATCTTTGATATTTGCACTCTCAAAAAAGCAATAATGCACCAGTGCGCTCTCATTAGCATTAGCTTTTCAGCATGCATGCGAGCAGGCTCTGAGGGAGTTACGACCGGATATTGAGCTGGATATGAATGTGCTGCCGTCATCCGAAGCCAAGAAACTTGCAACTTATGGATTTTATGCCCCACTGACGAACGCATCTGAGGTAAGCCAATTGTAGCATCCAGGT